TCAAAGATGCTTGAGCTATTTTTCTCTCAATACAAAAAGAAGTTTTTCAACTCTACAACTCCAAAGGAATATGGAGAAAGACCAACACACTATATTTACATGAAGCAGGCCAACTAGCAATTACAAATCAGTAACTTGTGAAGTCCTACAAAGCCCAGACAAATACAGTAACTACGGGGGGGGGGGGCAGCAGTAGGGTGAAACAAGAACCCAGGATCAGACTTACATCACCTAATGCGTTCTATTGCATTTGCTCCACTTTGACCCAGTGAAGCAGGTTTAGAGTGATCTCACAGCGTGCAAAGGAAACCCCTTTTTCTCTTTTAGCTACCACAACGCTATTAATCACTGCTGCAGGGCAGGGCCCTGGCTCTGGGCCCCAAAAGAAGACATTGCTTATGGTTTCTCTGGAAGCCATGGAAGAAGAGTCCAGAAGTTTTAAAGATTAAGGATTTTAGTCCTTCCTTCATATATACATCCCTGGGCAGCATAAGATGGGTACAGAGGTATTGTTCTTAAGATCTATCTTTACCACCTCACATTTTATGTAATAACAAATACTTATACCCTGTTGTGCAAGGTAGGCCTGGCCCAATCCAGTGGAGGATGCATCTGGTATGTAATGCCAGGACCATGCCCTGGGATTACAGGTCTGGGACAGGAAACATTTATCACAGATGAGGCAACCCTCACTTTTGAGATTGGATTGAGTGATGGGCAGGACATCAGACAGGCAGCATCTGCGTTCCGAGGTGGCTCTGGGAGGTGGACTTGGGCTGAGGTGCATGGGAAGACTCTTAGTAACAAATGTGAGAGGTGACATGTCTGAAATAATTCAAAGGACAATAAAAATGACACTCAGGTGTGAAAAACACACTTTATTCAAGATCCAGTCATAACTGTAGACTACTCACTTCCGCTCAGGTCTAATTGCAGGAGCACCGAATTGAAGTCACTGCTTTCACTACCTGAAGGAAAACATGCCATTTAGCTTCTCAGGGTTTTATTTTTCAGGTGTGTCTAACATGAAAACTAATGTATTTTTCTTAATACTTGAAATAGGGAGTATTTCTTTTCATTTTTAATTTTGAGCCCCCTTGGTCTAAATCCTTTAAGACTAGTTAGTTAACACATGTTTGGGTCAAGGCGTTCGGGCATGATACAACTAGAACCAGGACAGGGGTTTCTCGTTCTTCGATTCTTTTGAAAGTGAGACAACGCAATACAGAAAGATAGAAAATCTTTGCATAATTGCAAGTTATTTTGGTCTGTGCCTCTCTCTCTTCGGGATTGGCTTAGAGGAGAGAGACAAGATGGGATAGAAGAAAACAATGAGAGCAAAATGAGTTTTACATTTTCTGTAGTTGACTGCTTTGTTCTTCTACTACTTGACAACACCAGACTATCAACAGTTTGTAAGTTTTTTCATAATATAAGTACTTATCATCAGAGGTATTTTGCTTTTCCTCACTAAGACCATTCACTCCCATTTGTTTAGTGAAATTTCAAAAACATACATGAGAGAGAAATCATTGAAATTTCAACTATTTGTTTTTAGCCACAAGTGGTTCCCATCAGCACTCCTATCTACAGCACTCACTGCATATTTAACCATGCATTATTAATTCTTTATGTTCACTGAGGTAGATATCTGTCTTAAAACTCCTTTGTATTCCCTCAGAGTTTATACTACCTAGTAGATCCTCAATATATATCAGTTGGTTTATACAGCAATGAAAGATCAGGTAGGTTCAAGTTCATTGATAATCCTGGTTGGAAAATTTGAGATCTGTTCACTGCTCACGGCTGGGTTCATGAACATTTTATAAATGACATATCTGGTGGATAACGTGAGAATATTCTAGCAAAAAAAGTAATTTCTGAAAAGTGGGCAGTTATTTGTACAATGAGAAATTTACAAAAGAATAAGTGGTATCTTTCAAAGTTTATCTTTGTAAGACCTGCACTGGTAAACATTTTTCCAAAGTTAGAGAACATAACTATATGTTATAAATCATTTTTTGGAATCAAACATAGTGTTTAACAACAATCTTTATTGAAATTTGCATACATATATACTCTTCAGAGACCTTTGGTTCTCAATTTCCTCTTATTGATGAAGATAAGCAGTATATGTATATATATATACCACCTCTTCTTTATGCATCCATCTGTCTATGGACACTGCGACTGCTTCTATAGTTTGGCTAGGTTGCAATAAACACAGGGGTGGAAATATCCCTTTGAATTAGTGTTTTTTATTCTTTGGATAAATACCCAATAGTGTGATTACTATTCCTACTATTATAGGGTAGTTCTATGTTTAATTTTTTGAGGAATCTCCATACTGTCTTCCACAGTGGCTGCACCAGTTTGCATTCCCAACAATGCATGAGGATTCCATTTTCTCCACATCCTTGCCAACACTTGTTGTTTCTTGAGTTTTTGATTTTAGTCATTTTGAAAGTTGTGAGATAACATCTCATTGTGGTTTTTATTTGCATTTCCCTGATGATGGGCATCTGTATATCTTCTTTGGAGAAATGTTTGTTCATGTCTTCTGCCCATTTTTAATTGGATTATTTTTTTGGTGTTTTGTTGTGTGAGTTCTTTATGGTCTCAGAATAAATTTTTATTAATAAGTCTTGGTTGCCTACATAATAAGATCTGAATTATCATAAGCAAATGTACATTTCCTATGTTTTGGAAATACAATTTTCTCACCATGAAGTCCTTTTAAAGGCCTCAGTTCTTCCCAGAGCTGATGATAATCAATGGACATGGAATAGATTTCACTGAAGTCTGAGTGCCACTATGGAAAGATCTTCAAGGTACAGGCATACCTTGAAGATATTGACTATTCAGTTCCACACCACTGCAATAAAGCTGATATTGCAATAAAGGGAATCAAATGAATTTCTTGATTTCCCAGTATATATAAAATTATGTTTAGGGGTACCTGCATGGCTTAGTTGGTTAGGCGTCTGACTCCTGATCTCAGTTCAGGTCTTGATCTCGGGGTTGTGAATTCGGGCCCCACATTGGGCTCCAATCTGGCTGTGGAGCCTACTTTAAAAAAAAATTATGTTTAAATTGTACTGTAGCGTATTAAGTATGCAGTAGCATTATGTCTAAAAAAACCAACATACATATCTTAATTAAAAATATTGCTAAAATGTGCTAATCATCATCACCTGAGAGTTCAGTGAGTCATAATCTTTTTGCTGGTGGAGGGTCTTGCCTTGATGGCTGATGACTCATCAGGGTGGTGGTTGCTGAAGCCCGGGAGTGCTGTGGAAATTTCTTAAAATAAGACAATAAAGTTTGCTGCATGGGTTAATTCTCCCTTTCACAAATGATTTCTCCATAGCATTCGATGTTCTTCAATAGCATTTTACCTATGGTAGACCCTCTTTCAAAATTGGAGCTAATCCTCTCAAACCCTGCTGTAGCTTTATGAACTAAGTTGATGTAGTATTCTAAATCCTTTGTTGTCATTTCAACAATCTTCATAGCATTTTCACCAGGAGTAGATTCCATCTCAAGAAGCCACTTTCTTTGCTCATCCTTAAGAAGCAGCTCCTCATCTGTTCAAGTTTTCTCATGAGATTTGGCAATTCAGTCACATCTTCAGGCTCTACTTCTAACTCTGGTGCTCTTGCTGTTTCCACCACATCTGCAGTTACTCTCTCTACTGAAGTCCTGAACCCCTCAGAGTCATCCATGAGGGTGGGATTCACCTTCTTCCAAACTCCTGTTAATGTTGATGCTGTAATCTCTTCCCATGAATTACAAATGTCCTTAATGGCATGGTGAATTCTTTCTAGAATAGTGAATTCTTTTCAGAAGGTTTTCAATGTACTTTGCCCAGATTCATCAGAGGAATCACTGTCTATTGCAACTAGACACTTATGAAATTTACTTCTTAAATTAGTAAGACTTGAAAACTGAACCGGCTCCTTGATCTGTGGGCTGTGGAATGGATATTGTGTTAACAGTCATGAAAACATTATGGATTTTGTTTTACATCTCCATCAGAGCTCTTGGGTGAGCAAGTGCATTGAGAACAGTAATAGTTTGAAAGGAATCTTTTTTTTTTTCCTGAGCAATAGCTCCCAGCAGAGGGCTCAAAATATTCAGTAAACCATGTGGTAAACAGATGTGCTGTCATCCAGGCTTTATTGTTCCATTTATAAAGCATAGGCAGAGTAGATTTATTCTTAAGGGCCCGAGGATTTCAGGATAGTAAAGGAGCATTGGCTTCAACTTAGAGTCATCAGCAGCAAGAGCCCCTAATGAGAGAGTCAGCCTGTCTTTGGAAGCTTTGAAGCGAGGCACTGACTTCTCCTTTTTAGTTATGGAAGTCCTAAATGGCATTTTCTTCCAATATAAGGCTGTTTCATCCACATTGGAAATCTGTTGTTCAGTGGAGGTACCTTCATTAATTATCTCCACTAGATCTTCTGGAAACTTGCTGCTGCTTCTCTATCAGCATTTGCTTCTTCACTTTGCACTTTTATGTTATAGAGATGACTTCCTTCCTTATATCTCAGGAACCAACTTCTGTGAGCTTCAGACTTTTCCTCTGCAGCTTCCCCACCTCTCTCAGCCTTCATAGAATTGAATAAAGTTAGGGCCTAATTCTAGGTTAGGCTTTAGCTTAAGGGAATGTTGCTGCTGGTTCGCTCTATCCAGACCACTCAGACTTTCCCCATCTCAGCAATAAGGCTGTTTCAGCTTCTTTTCGTTTGTGTAGTCATTGGAGGTACACTTGTAATTTCCTTCAAGAACTTTCCCTTTGCATTCACAACTCAGCTCACTGCTCTGTGCAAAAGAGGCCTAGGTTTCAGCCTATCTTGTGTGTCTCAGGGAAGAGGGAGACCTGAGGAGCAGGTGAGAGAGAGACAGAGAACAGCTGGTGGGTGGAGTAGTCGTAACACAACATTTATTAAGTTCGCCATCTTAGATGGGAGCTGCTCGTGGCACCCCGAAGTGATTACAGTAGTAACAGCGAAGATCATAGGTGACCATAGCAAATACAGTAAGAGTGAAAAAGCTTGAAACATTTCGAGAATTACCAAAATGTGACAGAGACATGAAATGAACAAACGCTGTTGGAAAAATGGCGCTGATCAACTTGCTTGATGCAGGGTTTTCACAAGCCTCCGACTTGTAAAAAATACAATATCTGCAAATTGCAATAAAGGAAGTGCAATAAAACAAGGTATGGCTGCACTCTTTTTAAGTGAAAAAAAGCAAGATGCCCCACAAAATGTATATCTATGGCTACCTTCAAAAGGAGAAGTCAGGTTTAAAGAAGAGGAGTTCACACCTCTGTTAGACCTTTTTAATTTTGAACCAAGTGCATATATCATCTTTCCTGAAATAAATAAAAATAATACATTTTCAAAAGCTCTTTGTTACCAAAACAAAACAAAACAGAACGTTTGAATACTTCTGTTAATCATTAAGGGAGTAGTTAGATAAATTACGATGCTCCACGTACTAGAATATACTCTGCATCTATTAAAAATCATGAGGTAGATTGGCATCGATAAATTCACAAGCAAACAAAAGTAAAGTGCAGTATGTGCAAAGTTTCACATCTGTACATCTTTAAAAAGCACACCCAGAACATTATGCATGTATGCCATTCTATAAACCATTGTGTTTTCTGGAAGGACACACATGAAAAGATGAATACGTATTATCTTTACAGAGAGGAGATAGGATGAATGTATGGGGAGGATGACTTTTATTTGTCATTTTATAAATTTCTGTAGTATTTAAACTTTCAATATGCTCATTTAAAATATTATTTTTATTTAATGAGTCCTTAAAAGTCAGTCTTATTATGCTTCTGTGAAAAAAGTTCAGTGTCATTAGGAATATCTTCTTAAGTCGATATGAACCCAAGTGAATTAAATTATATAATATTATAGAAAACTCCTGTAAAAATTTCATAAGAAGATAGACAGCAGCTAATCCATTCTAGAGACTTTTCTTTTTCTTTCAGTCACACTTAGTCTTTAGAAGTGATTTATTAAAAATGAGTTGGATTTTACAGGTTATTAGCAACAAAGTGGTGTAGTAGAAATAGCAGTCTCACGTGCTCTGAAAGTCTCACTGAGCTCGACCACTTGGGCATCACCAACCTAAAATGCAACAATCTCATGTGTTGCAAAAGGAGGTGACTGGTTCATCATCTGTCCCGCCTTACAATTCCTGGATTCTAACTCTTACTGCCAGAAAGCAGAGGATTTGAGCTTCTTTAAGGAGTTCTGTCTGTGAATTCTTAAAGATTTCTAATATCCTACATACTCTATATCAGCAGTGAGAAATGCTAACTCTCAGCAAGAACATCTTACATCAGGGCGTGTGGGTAGTACCTAGGTAGAGACGTAGGTGATCATGGTAGATGGGATAATGGTTCTCCAAAGATGTCCGTGGCTTAATCCCTGAAACCAATGAATATGTTACCTCACACAACAAAGGGACGTTTGTAGTCCCTTTTACAGATGTGATTAAGAATTTTGAGATAGGAAGATTATCCTGGATTATCCAATATAATCAGAAGGGTCCTCTATAAGAGGGAGGCAGGCAGGTCAGTGTCAGAAAGAGATGTGATGATGAAATCAGAGGTCACAGGGAGAGAAGAAGATGCTGCATTTCTGATTTTCAAGATGGACCAAAGGGACTCTAGCCAAGGAATGCAGGCAACTTTTAGAATTTAGAAAAGGGAAAGAAATGGATTCTTCTCTCGAGCCTCCAGGGGAACAAAATCCTGCTGATACCTTGATTTTAGCCCGAGGAAGCCCATTTAGGACTTCTGATCTCTGGAAGCGTATCTTATTAAGTTTGTGTTTTTTTTTTTTTTTAAGATTTTATTTATTTATTTATTTGAGAGAGAGAGAGAGAAAGAGCATGAGAGGGGAGAGGGTCAGAGGGAGAAGCAGGCTCCTTGCTGAGCCGGGAGCCCCATGTGGGACTCGTTCCCAGGACTCCAGGATCATGACCTGAGTGGAAGGCAGTCGCTTAACTGACCGAGCCACCCAGGTACCCAGTTTGTGTTGTTTTAAATTACCAAGTTGTGCTAACTTGCTACCACAGCAACAGGAAACTAGCACAGTGATTTATATCTAGAATTAAAATTTGAGGGTCATATCAATTGTGTGTGTTTCCATCTCCTTTAATACAAATAGAAGTTGTCAACCAAAGCAAGACTGAAGAAAATTTGTGACCACCCACTAACAACCAATAATACATATAAAATGTTGTTGACTTTTATGGACAAAATATAAGATAAGATGAATCAGTAGGTAAGTTTTTTTAAGGAAATACATTTTTTCTTTCTGTTCACATACCTGGCTTTTAGTTGCAAAGGAGAAGTTGCCAGTAGACATTCGATGAGCCTAGGGATGAGGGAATACCATTCTGCTTGGCAGGAGTGGTGGAAAACTGTAGAGACTTGCTTCAGTTTTTGTTTAGCCTTTTAATATAAACAGTCCTTTAAGAAGATGTGATTTTTTGTAGTGATATTAAATCCTGTCTGTAAGAATGAATGACACTGGCAACAAATACTTAAGTCCTGGTTTACTGCCCATCCACAGCCCTTTTCACTCTAGCTCAGCACTTCTCCGTGAGTTCCAATTTTAAACGTCAGGCACCAACCAAAGTGGGACTTACGGAGAAGAGAATTTATGAACACAATATATTACAAGTGTCTTGTTTTCCTTGTCCTTTGTTTTCCTTGACCATGTTTCCCAAAATTTACTGTGCTTTTGTTTCTCTCTGTACAGACAGGGAAAGACTGTTGGTGGGGGCCTATGGTCATGAGGGCTTAAATGGATGACATGTAAGCCATGGTGCCCCTGAGGGAGGGATAATTCCAGAGTTTTGCCCTGAAGTCCACCCTCTGCCTAACAGCCTTCATTGTTAAGAAACCTCATTGCACGTCTTAACGTAAAGTGTTTGGGGAGGTGCGGTGGATGGAAGGAAGGAAGTTGTCTGAACAAGAGCAGAACTACATGTTCTGTGAATGAGTGGGTGAGAATGACTATAATAAGAGACAGATCTTCTTTGATTTCAAAGGGAAACATAGCTACTCACATCTGCATCCTGCTCTCTGGAGATTTTGTTTAGTAGAAGTTGGAGTTGTGGGCTCTGCAGACAGATTGTGTTTGAGATTTGGATCTGTCACTTGGATGCTATGACCATGTAGAGTACTGTGTGGTGCTTATAGCTTTAATATCATCTTTTACTGCAGAATGTTGAAGAAGAGAAAAAAGGAGTTAGGGAGGGGACTTTGCTACTGCAGTACTTCCAATATATGCCCACATAGAGAAATATGAAGGAAAAAATCTCTCAGTTACTTGAAATATAGTTATTTCAATTTATTCTTTTGGGACATGGTGTCTTGATTCACAATACATTATAATTAGGTATATTTTCAGTTTCTTTTTTTTTTTTTAAAGATTATTTATTTATTT